AAGTGTTCTTGTTACTGTTCTTAATATTTCTAAAAGAGATGACACATGATGGTTTAACTTTACATAATGAAAGTGTAACATTAAAAGAGATTAGTTTATGGTCCGATATGGGTAAATCCGTAGCAGAGCAGTTTTGAGGGGTGATACCAGAACAGCAGATAAGGTCCAGAACATGTCCTTTGGAGTGGGTTGGAAAATTAATGAATTGTYGAAAGTCAAAACTGTCCAAACATGATACGAAGTCCTTAGTGAGTGTATTGTTGGAGTTGTCCACATGTATGTTAAAATCACCAAGCTGAATTGTGTTGGGGGAGAGTGCTGAGATGTTAGTGAGGAGGGTAGCGAACTCAGAGAGGAAGACAGTATTGTGCTTACGATAAATTGTAGACGATAAATAGTGATTAGTGTAGTAGGAGATGGGTTGTTGCCAGGTTTCAGTGAGAAATAAGAAGTCAAAGTTATTGTCACTTTGAGATCCTGGAGAAGAAGTCTTGCCTGTTAGAGAACGGATATTAAAGAGTCCAAAACTGATTTCACTGTGTGTTGTTGTGATGGGGACTGAAGTGGCTGGAATATTGCGTTTAACATAGGAGAGATTACTTTTAATAGATACTGTAAACATAAATGATAAAACATAACAATAAAACATTATCTTTGGTAAAATGGAATATAACACATTTCAGAATATTTATTTCAGCTCTTGAGAATTATGGTTTTTGGTGTAAAAATAAACAAACTTAAAYAATTTTTCTCCAAACCGAGGCTGTTCAAAGAGCTGTCTACAACAGGTCAGATTCGTAACTTTCTCATAAAACTACACTTAATATTGACTAGAATATCCCTTTAACATTGTTCACCAAGTTCCAAGGGACATGTTCCTCAAGGACGCACTTTTATAATTAAAAATGAAATAAAACCTCATTGAAAGTCAAAATTWTTTTTAAGTGTACAAAACCCAAGAAGCACTTTGAATGTAGGTGTGAAAAACAAACTRCAGAAAGGAGCTTGTTTTCATTATTGCTATGGCAACCCTGACATAATTTTTGCATGAAATAGACAGTTGTGCAGTTTTTTTCACGAGGCAGCCATAGCTGTGTTAAATTATTGCTTCTCCAAACTCAGTTTATGCAAGTTTGTCAAAAGACATTTACCTTCATGAAACAGTGACGTTAGAAGTGTCGAAACATTCAGTTTGAGAAAACAAAGTTGACGGTAAAAAAAAAGACCCACTAAGGGTCAATTTGTGTTGAAGTTAAAGTCAAGCACTTTAGAGGTGTGTGCCAAAGGTTATTAGAGTAGAAAAAGAAAAGAAGGAAGAAAAAAGGTGCAGCAGATTAGTGCAGCGTGGCCTGCTCCCTCCAGGGGACCGGGAAAAGATTTTTTAACTTATTTTTTCATTTTTGCTGACATCCCACCAGCTTTCACCACTTCCAGCTGCTGTTATTAATTCAACACACCTTCTGAAGATGGAATCAGAGCACGGCCGGGTGTTTCAGGAGAGGTTGGACCGCGGGCGCAGAGCTGACTCTGCCTGCTGAGGGTCTCAGCTGCTGGTTACACAGCCGACTAAAAACTAGTTTTCTGGCTGCTTTGGAAAACACCAGAGCACCACAACACAAAAAGGCGATWTTACAGCCCTTTCATGTGCAAAGAAGAAAAAAAGACAAAGTTTCCATTGGGGGCAATCACACAGAGAGCTCTGAACACAACAGACCTCTCTTTGTTGGAGTCCTCAGACTCCTCAGCGCCAGAAAAAGTTACATTTTATGATGACTCACATAAACTCTGGAAAATAGCCTCAATTTTTTTCTTATTTGACCTTGTCTGTACTCTAAGACTGTAGTTCTAAGACTGTAGTTTTTTTAAACCCATTTTTATTCCCCATTTATCAGCCTTTCTAATTAAAACTCCTTTAAACCTTCGACAACATTCACTAAATGATTAATCATAGCTAGTTTTACGTCATTTCAAAAATCCCTTTTTTTCAGAATGGTGCCAGCTCATTTCTGTTTCGCTGAGAGATACGTTTGAAAAGCTTTCCTTCTCAGAAATTCTGCCCAGATGATGGCAAGAAATAGAAAAAAAATGAGCTCATAAGAATCCTTATTGACTCATCAGTTAAAAGATTTTATTCTGTACATATAAAAAAGGCATTAAATTCACATTTACGTTAAAAAAAGCACCCTGATTAAATATACAGTCGTCTATGTACATTTTACATTTAGTTTTAGATAAATTTGTGAGAGTGATAACTTGTGTAATGAGGTCCTGTTTTTGTTACACCAGCAGTGAAACAGTAAGTCTGTAGTCTCACACTATTGTTCTCCAGCCAAACATAGGATTGCACTTTAAGTCTCTTACATAAGATCTTTTGTTTTCAGGCTCGCGGTTACACAGCGTATCCGTACTGAGGGTCGTATCTGAAGGAAGCCCCTCTRGCCCCTTCAGAGGGCGTGCCGTTGTTGCCATCTGCCACGATGGGGGCAGATTCAGTGACACTGGGCAGGGGGCTCGCCACGGCGTTGTACTGGACCCCGTGGTGMGTGCGGTACCCCACCATGGATCGAACACTCGATGCTCGGCTGGGCGGTTTGCTCTCTGGAGCGGGAGCGTCGTGCCTGAGRGAAGAAAAAAAAGTTWAAAAAAAAAGGTAAAAGAAGYTTGAAGTAGCTCTGATCTGAGATATTCTTTTTTATTATTATTTTTCCCCTCGAGGCCTGAAACACTCCCTCTATCTCTGATGAAATACCTAATTTCATTTGAAACCTCCTTCTGGTAGCGCTTCTTGTTGCAGTAGGAGATCAGGCACCAGATGAGAAGCAGGAGGAGGAGGAACAGCAGCAGAGCGCCTATCACYGCACCGGCGATGATGCCCGCTTTGTTGGTTGCTGAAAGATAGGACATGGTGCGGAGACATCAAACGAGTGCAGCTCTCTGTCTGTGCTCTCAGAGTCACACATGAGCCGGAAACAGCAGCAAAACCAAACTTAAAAAAAGTAAAAAAATAAAATAAAATTAAAATTAAAAACAAAGATCTGTGCAGATCTGGTCACAACATTGTCAGGCACAGTCTCATGCAACACTGCATCATTTTACAAGATTTGACAAAAATATATATTTATATGCTGAGGACAACTCTCAGCTACTACCACCAAAATTTTAGTTCGATATCTGTTCATTTGACTAAGTTAAAAGACATTTGTGTTTAAGATTAAGTAGCCATAGCTGCCATCTTGAACTCCAAAAGTTAATCAAAAATAGAAATTACTTTAATTTTTCATTCAAATCCAACCAATGGTTTATGAGATATTTTGCAAACAGGGCACTACAATTAATGCCAAGTTTTAAGCAAAGATGTATATTGTTTAGTGCTCAGAGTAGGCTATGGCTGTGTCCAAAACAGCAGGCCGGGTCCTCCGGAGGACCCAGCCTACCTGGTCGAGGTGGGCCGGGTCCTTGGTAGACTGGGAAGACCGGAAAAAAACAAGAGGTTGTGAATTTGGACAGTCTAGCCTCCCCTCCTTACCCCGGCGTACGTCATGTCACCTAGCAACCATGACGACACTAAACAGAAGCAAAAATTGATAAAAATTTTAAAAAAATTCAATACATTAGCATTATTAATATCACAAAACAATAAAATGAACTTAAGGTAACATTTGAAGAACTAATGTAAAATGTACCATTTTCTCTCACTTCGTCCGCCATTACTAGCATAAAAAAAATCTCCAGTCGGACCGTAATGCATTATGGGATATGGTGGGCCGGGAAGGATCCATCAGACCTGTCCTTCAAATCGGGCCAAAGGAAGGACGTATTTGTCGGTCGCACCGGAGGAGTCTTCTGTTTTGGACGGCCTTCGACGCGGCGCTGTGACGTATGCGGCCAACAAATTCGGCCGCCGGAGGACTTGGCCTGCCGTTTTGGACACAGCTTATGTGTCGTAAATTTGTCTCGCTCACAGCAAAACTAAATGTTTGCTAAAGATTTATAACACTGACCAAATTACAGCTTTTCAGGATCAATTTTGTGTGGCGGCCATTTTTATTGGTGTTATCATTAAAAGTTGTAACTGTACATCCAGTGATCACATCCACAGTTTCATTGGTTAATGAGATATTTTGCTAACATGACAAACACATCACCAAACTTTCACCTTGTGTGTTCAGGTGTGTGTGTCAGGTGTTCTAAAGAGTAAAGTTAAATGATGAGATCATAAACTTACGGTTGTATGCACCCAGTGTGTATTTGCACTGGTCTTGACCGACTGAATTTTTAGCCACACATGTGTAAACTCCAGTGTTGCTGTCTGTATGGTTCTTTATCAGAAGCTCTCCAGTATTGGGGTCTAAAGGAAAGAAGAGAAGAGTGAGAACACAGCGCAACGATGTGAATGTGCAGATGTGTTCACGTTGAGCTGCTCACCTTGGGTCGCAGTGTTCGGCATCGTACCGCCGGTCTCCCTCGTCCAAACGTAAGTGAGAGGAATAGTTCCCTGGTAGGATTTGCAGCGCAGGGAGACGGAGCCGCCTTTCTCCTCGCTGCCTTCAACCCAGCACTTGGTTTTGGAGGGAGGAACTGATAAAAGGAAATGAATTAAACACTCGGGTTATGAATCTCTGAGGCAGAAAGGTTTCATTCAGGATGTTTAAATCCTGTCATGAGAAAAAGAAAGGCAGCTCTTTGATTTCAGACATCAGGATATAAGAAAAATGATTTGATTTCTAACCAGCTTCTAAAACTGTTCAATCTAACCTCAAGTGTTCAAAAACACACATCAAATTATTTATTAAATAAGAAGAGCGAAAGTGAAAAAAAACTGCATGAAAAATTTCAGTTTCTGGTATCTTCTTCGTTGCCATTTATTTTTGGCTTGACCAGTTTCTCACTTGGGGTATTTTGGTTCACTTTTCTTTGCAGCATTGCTTCAATTCATTATGGTTTACAGACATTTGCTTTAGGGTCCCTCCACAATATTTTATTGAAGTTGAGGTCACGTCAGTTTGTTCACCTTTTCTGTTTCATAATCCAGTTTGACCCAAGCTTGATGGTCTCACATTGACTCAAAACAAAGATGGGCAACTGGTGACTAGTGGGCCACATTCGGCCCACTAATTGTTTTTACTTAAAAATAATTTTAAAAAGCACTCAAAGCAACTCTTAGATTAATTTCTGAAAATTACAAGAAAGTACAAAAGGTGTCTCAGTGGTATTGAAAGAAGTGTAATGTCAAAGTTTGCCATTAGATGGCGCCTCCAATGCAGCTGCCACTTCATGAACACAATTCTCCTCCAGCAATGAAGAGCCGTGTAGTACATGGATAAGAACAGAGGAAAAAAAACCTGAACAGAAAAAAAACTTGTTTTGAAATAGGAGGCAGACTATCTGTTCAAAGAATTTCAAGGCAAACCTATGTTTAATCTACTTAGTGACGCCTGTCTGTCATAAAGGATATTCACCGCTACATGTTGCACAAAGCTAAATATGAGATGCTTTCTGAAGTCACAAACATTTAAGGCATTTTATGCCTTATTTATGCACTTCAGTTCACTAAAGTAAGTGTTTATTTTTTGTTTGTTTCAAATATTGCCATTTTCTGTTTAGGGGAAATAAAATCCCCAAATGTTTGAAACAAGTTTTTTCCTGTATTATCCTGTCATGAACTTAACTGTGGTCAGAGATAGTTTTGTTATGGTTTATAATTTTTATTTATTTATTTACTTTTTTCTGTCCTAAACATTTTCTACTTGAGAATCACACAGCGGGTAAAATAAGTATCGAATACGTCACCATTTTTCACAGTAAATATATTACTAGAGGTGCTAATGACATGAAATTTCCACCAGTTGTCGGTAACAACCCAAGTGATCCATATAAAGAAATCAAACCATAAATGTCCAGAAATGAAGTTATTTGTAATGTGGAATGGCAC